CGTTTGTGCCCCCCTTGCACACTGTTGATTTTGCGGCTTTGAGCTTATGGACGGATGAGGGAGGGGTGAAGTGGAGGATAAAGAAGGAGTTTGGGCGGGGAGGGGGTCGTAGGGAATGTAAATAATGTTTTTAGATTGCGTTTTACTGAAATAATCTTTCGCACTCGTCTATTTATTATGCACGCGCTGACTTTGGATCTGAGAGTCTCCACGTAGGCGGGGGTTCCCGTTAGTTTCACACTCTAGAAATACTTTTGTGATGAGCAGCCTCCAGGCTCGGTGGACGAAAACAAAGCGGACAGATGGGCTTAAACCCACTTGTTATTGTTGTTATCGGTGAGGGATCGATTCTCATGGACTTTGGGGTTGTTTTGTGTTTGTATGCAGGCTGTAGGGGGGTAAAGGCGTCTCTGTTTGGGATGATAAGATGGTCAGCATCCTTTCATTGTTTGTTTACAGGATTTTAGGGACCTAAACAGAGTCCTCGAATTTCCCACATTTGTTTTGTGGTCTCATATTAGCACTTTCAATCCTTTTAAAAAAATAAACAAGCCTATAGAGTGTTTATTATGTGTGTTTTAATTTATCTGACTGTGTAAAGGTTCATAGGTTTAATTGATAAATCATCTTTATGTCCATGGTTGTTTTATTAGAGGATGAATGCATTTGCATACTCTTCTGATTCTTCATTTTATGCTTTTTTGTTTATCTTTATTTGGTTGTTCTATAATTTTGTATTAGGTGTTGAAATGGCTTTGATCATTAATACAACTGCTACTAATAATAATATTTAGCATATATACTAATGAAATAAAGAACTGGAAAATCGTAATAAGTATGAAATAAAACACAAGTCATTCAGAACCTGTTTGGTAAACAATACAAAGTACAAACTGAATAAATTAACCTGGCAAAATAACTAATAAACTTGTTTTAAACAGCTCTAATCTAATCCAATCCATCCCATGTGGCTGCATAATAGACCATAACTTTATTTCAGAGAATAAAACTATTTAGTTTCCTTGTGTGTAGCCCCACCCTCTCCAATATCTGCCTGTGCCGCTGAGCAGGCTTTAAAAGCCGCTTTGGAAAACATTTCTTGCAGTACAAAGGGGTAGCACAGTGCTTAGACTGTGGTCCAGGCAGGGGGTACGCAGACCTCCTACCATTGTTTTTGAGTGCAGACTGGATGACTCATCCAGCTGAGTATTTATCTGAATGCACTGTACAGGAAACGGCCCGGGAAATACAGACAGACTGATCCTCTTCATTCCAGGGAAAGTTACTCTTTCAGGCGCATAAAACTGCACACATAGTCTGAATGTGAAACATCAGTGGGAAGACTCAGTAGGGAGATGTTTTTAATGTCAAGGTTGATAAAGTATTATGACTATGTTGCTTTAAAAGCATTGAAGGATCACAGAAATGTAAAAACACAACTATTAAGCTAAACATTAAAATGGGATTAGGCATTGGATGATAACCGTGTTCAAGGTATACTGCGGTTGGGAAAAGTCAAGGTTTTAAGAGAGTCAAAATTTTCAGCTATACGGTTGCTAAGGTATCTGTAAGATTTTTTTTATTTATTTTTTTTTAGTTTTTTAGGACAGCAATATCTCCAGCAGAAAAGATCTCCAAAGTTGCTGTTTTAAATTGTAAAAAAAAAATCTGTTTTTGTAAACCAATAAAGACCATAATTGAAAGTCCATAATTCATTTGAATTATTTAGCCTGACATGTTTACTGCTCCAAAATATTTTTAATGCTTCTCAAATTAAAATATATTGTGTACAAAGGGGGAAAAGGTTTTGTTTTTTACCCAGAAATTTAAAAAGAATCAATAATAATCTCCATACAGTGAAACCGTGATAATTATATCCAAGGTTATCATACCGTCAGAATCTTATAGCGCCCCTTGCCTAAATGGGAGTCAACATAATGAAAAGCCTGAGAACTTTTATACATATATATTGCAAAACTTTGGTTGAATTCATACAAACTAGTCAGTGCCTTTATGCGCAGTAACTTATTTTGTACTTCTAGAGTGTTTTGTGGAAAAGTCTGGTGAAATCTTTAGTGCAATATCTCACTAATTCCTTAAGTCACATTTTTAGTGTGCATGAAGTCAACAGTTTGTCAAATATCTAAACATCTGTATTCATTTAAAGCTTTCCCACAGCCTCTTGCATATGCAGTCTATGCTTCTTAAGTTTAAATATATTTTTCAAATGGCTTAAAATATGGTTTTGAGTTCACGTTTTGTTCAATTTGGGGCTGGCTGATTAATCGAATGCAATTTATCAATCTCCAGAACTCCAGGTGGAGCAGCAGTAACTGCACAGACTTGTGTTTGTTAAGGATTAATTTTATTTCTCGATAAGGAAAGTAAAGACGATAATGACTGTGATGTTTATGTCACTGGGCAGAGCAGTGGGTAGCACAATCGCATCACAGCAAGATGGTCGCTGGTTCGAGCCCTGGCTGTGTCAGTTGGCATTTCTGTGTGGAGTTTGCATTTTCTCCCAGTGTTCACGTGGGTTTCCTCTGGGTGCTCCGGTTTCCCCCACAAGTTCAAAGACGTGCAGTACAGGTGAATTGAATAAGATAAATTTGCCGTAGTGTATGTGATTGTTTGCAAGACTGTGTGGGTGTTTTCCAGTGTTGGGTTGTGGCTGGTAGGGCATCTGCTGTGTAAAACACATGCTGGATAAGTTGGTAGTTCATTCCGCTGTGGTGACCCCTGATTAGTAAAGGAACTAAGCTGAAAAAGAAAATGAATGAATGAATGACTATTTAGGTTACTTCTCGGTGAACTATGGCTATATTCTGGTGCTGCTACATCTAAAGCACATGAAAAATCACATTTCATAATAACACTTTTTTTATTCCAAACTGACTTCATAACTTAAGTTGAGTGTTTGAAATAAATCCTACTGTGAAATGATTCCATAGTAACTGAACTAGATTAATGAGAAGTTTTGCTGAATAAATTGACGAAAGAAGTGAAATGTTCTGCTTATTTACCGAACACTATTTGGATTTATTTAGTTTTATTTAGATTTTTTTTCTGCTCAAGAAAGCCCCCTGGCCTTCACACTTTTGCTAAATTGCAAATTTGATTTCATTTTGAATTTATTTCAAGTTATCGCCCAGCTCTAGTTCCATTTGCAGTTTTTGCTTGTTACCTTTAAATTTTTTTATTTTTGTTAATTTATGATTAAACAAACACGCAATCAAGCGACATGATCAAATACATAATTATGTATATTTTTATAATCATATATGATGTATATTTGTAATTTTTTAATTCAACCATATATTGCACGTTACTGGAATTCAGTACCAATCATTGCTGAAGTTTTAAAAACGTCCATTTCCTGCTAGCATTTGAGTGCTACTGAGCACTAAACAGTGCTGATTTGCAGTTGTGTTCACGTGCTCAACAGAAAGACTGTGATTGGCTGTGAAGGTCATCAGTTCACAAACTTACCGCTGTTTACTGAATATAACCACTGCTACAGGGACACTGGAGCATTTTAAAGATACGATTCATCAGTGGGTCGCTCTTATGTCAGATTATAGACAAACCCACTGATCGACATGACTTTGAAACACTCCAGTGTCCCTCTATTTGTGTTTACACTCAATAAACAGCGGTGAGTTTGGTAAACTGATGACCTTCAGGGCCAATCACCAATCATTTCTGTTGAGTACGTGAACACAATGGCAAATCAGTGCTGTTTAAGAACATGCTCAGTAGTGCTCAAATGTTAGCGGGAAATTATTGTGTTTAAAACTTCAGTAAAGATTGGTACCGAATTTCAGTATCATGACAACCCTAGTGTATATGAGCAACTCCAGAGTTATGGATGTGACATTTGAAGCAAAATCTCAAAACATGAATTCAAAGAGAAAGCATATGTTAACTTTAAATTCAAATATCTGTATATATTTTCCAGAACAACTGACCAGAATTATGAGGTCAGAAAAATGTCAATCTGTAAACATTTTTTTTTACTTAAATAGTCATCCAAGAATACTCAAATTATGTGGTTAATGAGATAGTAAGGTAGTAACCAAGAAGCTTGTCTGGTGACTTTGCTGAAGTTCAAATTAATTGTATATTTCTACGCTTCAATATATTCCGTATAAGCATTGTTTTGTTTTTGCATACCATTTTCCTGTCAACGTTGCACGTGAAAATTCCAACAAATCTGTGACAGACCACTGAATTCCGCAAATCCCTTCATATTTTCCGCATTGTTGAAATCAAAGTGCCATGGCTCTGTTTTGTTGTCATTTCTGGAAGAGGGCAGAGTGGATCAATTTTTTCTCTGTCTGACTCGATGCCAAATCATAATGCTGGTCATTACATTATACTGTAGTGTGTGTGCTTACTGCTTATGTGTCTGACAGAAAGCAAATATGTGTGCGTGCATGTCTGTGTGTTTATAGACTTCCCTGAGTTTGGTTCTTGAGCTCCAAGGATGGATGGAGAACTGCTTGACTGTTAAGAATCTGTAAAAGCTCTTAGGCTGAATTTTTTTTTTGGAAATCCCAGGCCAGCTCTGATCTCATTTCTTTTTGTGCATTTTTTCCCTCTAAATGAGTTATCAATTTATCTCCACTGCTTTTCCTCATAAGCCTTTTTAATACAAAAAAATCAAGGGTAACACTTTATTTTGATGGTTTATTTGAGTATTAGTAGAATGTCTGCTTAAAATATGTTGACACTGCTCCTTCAACAGATATTTAATTGACTTTAAGAAACTTTGCAAGTACATGTCAACTTACACTTACCCTATCCTAACAGTCTACTTATCATCTAATGAGAATTAGTTGGTATGTAGATGCAATGTAACCTAAATTCAACAATCGGACCATCAAAATAATGTGTGACCAAATCCAGAGTTCCTGTTCATCCCAAACTGAGACACATGAGTTTTACACCATGACATTTCTAAAGTCATAACATGTATTGTTTTTCTCTCTTTTTTTCAGAGCTCAGTGCAGGACTGGGGAGAGGAGGTTGAGGAAGGAGCCATATACAACGTGACGCTGAAGAGGGTCCAAATTCAGCAGGCCGCTAACAAAGGAGCAAGATGGCTGGGGGTGAGAGCAGAGCCTTTCATCTCATTTGACTTCCTCTCTTATTTAAAGAAGCACTTCGCCTGCCCATGCTGGGTTGGCCAGACAGTATAGGGCACATTACGGGTGACCTTATAAAAACCGTTTTATGGTTTGCGGATGTATTTTAGTCGTGGGGTTCTTTTGGTGTTCTGGTCATTAGTTTTCATGGACTCTAGGGCTAGAATATTGCTTAAAAAACAAGTGGAAGTTTATATAGTGGTGTTTGTTTGGTAAAAGGAAGAGCTTGCTTAGAATATGAGAATGTAAATTCTGTCTGGTGGTATGTATTATTGAGGAACAATTGCAGCTTTTTAATAGTTTGCTGTAGTTTTATATTTGGTTTTTCAGATGTAAAGATGCTGTATGTATGTAAGTTTTTGACTCTTCTAAAGCATAAAAATACCATAATTTGTTTGCTGATATTTAAGAAACATGCCAAGTGAACATTCTTGTTTATCTCAAAAACAATGCTGAAGTCAGATATTCTGCTTTGAAAATGGGCGTTCCACGCCAGAATGCTTTACTGTTTTTTATTTATTTTTTTTTAACCTGCCCAATGCCGGCGTACCCAATTAAAATCAAGCACCCTGGGTTGCATTGTTGGAAAACCGTGAATTTCATTGATTCAGTCAGGAAGCATGCGTTCGTGACCGAAATGCGACCTCTGATGGACGATAGCAGTCTTCGAAATGAGACACAGATTCAGAGTTCCACATGAGGTTAGTAATTAGCAAAAAATATTGCATAAAATATTTTTGTAATATTATATAAATATTTTTTTGCATACAATAAAACGTAATCCTAACAACACGCTACGTGACTAAATTTACAGTGATAAGCAATTTGGCTGTTTGCACCAGACTATAACACGATAACAATTGAAATACAGCCATTTAGAAGCACAGAATATGCACTCACTCATGAAATGGTGAGGTTTGTAATCTAATTAATACATATTCAACCTCTTTAACATTATTAAATGTACATGGTGAATCACTGATATGTGTTGGTTTGCATTTTTCAGGTCTTAAGTTCAATTTCAATCGGTTTATTTTATTTTCAAGATCTGAGGTAAACTATCTGCTGCTGTTTTCCGTTGTATGGCAATAAATGTCATGTAAAATGCCATTTAAACTTGCATTATTAGCATTAAACATTGAATAAAGCACATAAGGTGTACCTGAGGTGATCAGTTGATCACATGTGAGAAATATAGGTCGTTTCTAATAAATCAATTCAAGGTGTTGGTTAGAATAAAAACTCTTTTTAATATGGAAAATATTGCTTCTATCGTGTGTCATTGCTTTTATTTAGAACAGGGTTTAAATCAGCCTTTAGGCCTGATAGTCTCGCTGTTGGTGACGTCAATCTGGCAACCTGCGCTTGCGTTTGTTTTGATCCTGGAATGCAACACCCATTTCAACCACTGGTTGTCAAATATGTACATATTGCACCTTTAATAATAGTCTTAATTTTTGTGGGAATTTATTTATGTTTGTCATGAAAAAATCATTGTGATTTATTTGTCTTAAAATATGGAAGCACAGGTTCTATGCATTACAATCTTCCATTTAAATTGATTTTATTTATTAATTTATTTGTCTGCAAATGTGGGAACCCCTTATCTATGCATTACTGTTATTTCTCTAAAATCTTTCATGGTGAATATATTTACGGTATGACCCTGTATTTTATTTTAGCAAAATAGGTATCCCTACATCATCACGCCTATGTCTTAAATAAAAGGAAAGATATTAACTAAATGTTTTAATCATGACTTTTTTTATAGATTATTAAAATTTTATTTATTTAATTTAATTACTTTTTATAAAAAAGCATGGCATGGTGATTTTATTTTCAGAAGAGGTCTAACTTATGTCTGTGAGAGAGTTTGGAAAAAAAAAGAGATTAATTACAGTTGTCAACATTTTGAAGTGGATCGAAAAGTTTTTCAAGAACAAAAATAGGTGTTATTCAATAGCTTTAGGACAACTTTGATAAAAGGTTTTGATCCATTTCAAATGCTGACTACTGTATATTGTTCTGAACCCCATTAGCTGTCAATAATGTGGACAAAAACAGTTCTTCAGTCTTTAAAGTACTTTTTTTTTACTTCCCTGCTTTTAAAGACAAAAATATTAAACTCGCTTCACCGTTGCAAACATTTTGCTGTATGCATTTTAAGGTTCATGCAACGTTATTACATGAAGGCATGCTGTTATGGCTCCTTTCTAAATTACAGCAGTGAATGTGTGCTATAATCTGCTGCTTTAACCTTGAATAACTTTTTCCATATTGTCAACACCCCTCTAAATCAACATCAGAAAACAAAGCTCTCATAAGCTGGTGTGATTTCCATAGAGCTTCATTTTGCTGTATCACAGCAGTTTCTACACAGTTAATTTTAGTTTTATAAATGTGACATTCATGATAATGCGAATTTATAAGCGAGTAATTGTGCTGTAAAAATTAAAAATCAGATTGACGTTGTAATCAAAGAAAGCACATGTTTTGCGTTTTCAACATCAGTTCAAGTGGAGTTTTAGAGAGGTCACGGTGCTTAATGTTTGACCTAGTTTTGGCAACTGTAACTCAATTGCTTTATTCCTTGGTCTGAAAGATTTAGTATTTTAGCTTGTCCACTGAAACTCACCCTACTTCTAAATCACCTTTATTATTTGTGCATGAACTGAACAACCATTATATTTATTTCAACTAATGAAGCATTTGTTTAAAAAAAAAGTCTGCCGTCTTTCCAGAGTGTCTGGAAAAGGGAGGAGGAGGTTTGCTCTGATTAAAAGCAGATTGTAGAGTTTCCTGTTGTAGCGTGCTTGCAGTACCAAGGTCTCGTTCCTTTACTTGCCTCGTTTATTTTTGCATCTCTCTATGCACGATACTCTGATGTCTGCTTAAGAATTAAGTATTTTCCTCTCCCTATCCTTTGCTCTTTCAGGCGGAGGGTGACCGTTTGCCCCCGGGTCACACGGTCAGTCAGTTGGAGACGTGTAAAATCAGAAGCATTCGAGCAGGGACTCTTGAACGCCTGGTAGAAACGCTCCTTACAGCATTCGGTGACAATGACCTTACCTACACCAGCATCTTCCTCTCCACGTACAGGGCCTTTGCCTCAACGCAGAGCGTCCTGGAGTTGCTGCTGGACAGGTGTGTACACTTATGCGCATGTTTATGTGACGAAACACATTGTAGATGTCAAGAGAAAGTGTAGTACTGAATGGTCATGCATTAAAAAAATGTATGAAATGCCCTTTGTTCAAATTATTAATTTAAAATGAGCTGAAACAACACAAAAGTTGAGTTTTTTTAGGGAAAACTTAATTGTTTTATGTTCAATCCACTTAAATTTGTAAAAACGAATAAGTTGGCTTAATTCCTTCATGTTATCCCAAGACAAATTGATTGTGTGACACCCATGATTTTTAAAAATTCTTTTATTTTTATTTAGTTTATTGTTTTACACTACAGACCAGTAATTAAACAGGAAAATATCCGTTTTAATAAATTAAATTCTACATTTCTTCAATTGTTTCAAACCACTGCTGATGTTTCAATGTTGACTCTTTAAGCCAGTTTACCCAGGATTTTTTATTGTGTGTTTGCATGTGAAGAGTTTTCACATCTTGCGCTGATGCAGCTGGAGAAATAGATGTATTCATTTTGGTTAGATATTAATGTAAACACAGTGTGTGAATGTAAACAGTTGATAAAAAGCATCAGATCTACAGGATTTAATGTTAGGGAAATTTAAAAGTTTCATTTCCAGGCCTAGTAAAGATTTGAAGGTCATAGAAATTTCTGCTGTCAGTATATATTTTTTTCAGTGCTGTAGGATGGTGTCTGCTGCAAATTGCTTATAAAAAAAAACTTATAAATTCATTACAAGTGACTAAAAAGTGAAAGTCATTTATTTGCAAGTGTAAAGGAATGAATTTGTATGAAAATGTGGGAAATGGAATCTATGCGCTTTACCCTGTTTTTTTTTTTTTTTTACTTTTTCAAAAAGCATTTAAAGACAGCTTTTTGACAGTATTGATGTTTATGTACTTGGATTTTTAACTTGTTTTCTTTTATTGATAGGTGTTCTTTTACCTGTTTTCTGTTTTTTTTCTTATTGTAAAGTACTTTGTGACTCAATGTCTGGGAAAGGTGCTATATAAATAAACCTTTACTTACTTGCTTACTTTTAGACTGATTTTATTTGCTGATATTTTATATTTTGTAATGGAAAAATTATTGTGATTTATTATTTTATTTTGTTTGAAATGTGAAAACCTTATTTCTATTCATTACGTTTTGCAGTTTCAGATCGGCATAATGCATTTGATTTAAGTGTTTTTTTTAAGTTTTTTTGGTTTTATTATATTCTATTTCATTATTTATTTATTTTTTTATCAATAGTACTAAAAATATTTTCTTTTATTCCTTGATATTTTAGAAGCCTGAATTTATGCATTACAGCTTACAGTTTAAATGCTTTTATCTTCAAACTCAGTATTTTATATCATATATTGTTTGTTTTGGGGGATTCATCATAAAAATATCAATTATGATTGTTTTTGCCATCACAACAATCTTTACTAAATTAAAAGGGAATATTACACTGAATTTAGTTTTTTTTTGTTTGTTTGTTTTATTTTTTATTATTTATTTATTTATTTATTTTTGGTATGGTTAACATTACATTAACCTAACCTTTAATATTCATATAGTTCATTACACACTTCGGAGTAGATTATTTTTATATATTTGTTTAAAATATTTCTGTCATTTACACTGTAAAATAGGCACCCTGAATTCACAGTAAGTGACTGGCTTATAATTGCATTACATTCACAGTAAAATATTGTATGTAAATTCATGACAAATTACTTTGAGGTAGTTAACAGTAATTTATTGTGATTTTATTGCTTTTAATTACTGTAAAATCTCAGCCATATAATGAAACTTCACAGTAGATAGTAATGTCCATTACTGTGATTTCACAGTATTATCTTGTAGAATTAATTATATTTTACTGCGAAGCAGGCTTTCCTCAGCTAGTCATTCTGACATTTACCCTGACTTTGGGATCATTTTAGGTGTTAAACAGTGTTTTGTTTCATGAATCAATTACGTTTGTTCCAGTTTATTATGTTTTGGCTAAGCACAAAGTTATGTTCATTAAATATTATTTCATAGTTCCATGTTAACCATATAAGATTAAATAAAGTTGCAGTGCAACCAAAAATGAAAATTTACTATGAAATTCTTGTTGTTTTAATACAGAATGGTTTTCTTTCAAGTCATTTTTGAAGATGTAACCAAATTGTTTTTTGGGGCTGCAACAACATTTTGTTATTTAATTTATTCTGTTATTAATACTAGCATAAATATCCCTTGTATTAATGTCTATGTTGAATGAAAAAAAAAGAGTTTGAATTCCTATACCGAACCAGGGGCGCCTCCAAGGGGTGGCCAGGGGTGGCCACGGCCACCCCTCGGTAAACTCTGGCCACCCCTGTGGCCACCCCTTTGGCCACCCCAATATAATTTTGCGGTTGACATTATTGATTTAAATGAACTCATAAATTTCCAATATTTAGATAAATAAATAAATAAAATGCAGTCACTAAATTATTGTTGGTGTTACTGACGTAGCTCTCCCCCTCTGGTTCAATGCTGGTGAAAGCAAACTGACGCATGCGCGCGGAAAACCATTCCCGCGCGCCTCACGCACTTCTGTGTGAATCCCAGTTGGTTGTTTGCATGCACGCCGACATAATAGGCACCGCTCATGCGCCGTGAAACCGGAGTAACAGCCTTTTGTGCAGAGGTGTCTCCACGCAGCGAGTTTTGAAAGTCGTTTAAAGTTTATATAATATGATGATGATGATGATGATGATGTTACTTTCACTAAGCATGCCTTTAAAGCAGAAAGGAGGGATAATGAGTCAGGGAGGTAAGACTTCATAACATGATTTCTCAGCCATAATCTGGTCTAAGACCACAGATAATTCTATAATACATTTTTTGTATTCTTTAGAATTGTCATAATTAATTTTCATGCAAAAGGTTTCTTAAGTGATGTTGGCATATCACTCCAGTTGTTGTTTTCCAGTAATATTTGGGATTGATTTCTGTTATTTATTTAGAATAATAATTGTATATTAATATTAATTGTATTTATTTAGAATAAATATAAATAAATTGTTATATTTATTGAATAACAAATCTAACAATTCAAGAGAGGTGGGGGTGTATAGGGTGGTTCGCCCAGGGTGTCATTTAAACTAGAACCACCACTACCCTCCCCGATCGTCATTGACAGCACGCACACACCTTCAATAGACAGCAATGGCAATTTAATATTTACCTTAAGCTACAGTATATCAATAGAATAAGCTGCATTAATAAAATGGTTCAAAAAGCAATATGGATAAATAATATTATTAGTTATAGTGAGTGTGTATAGTAATGCCTTTTGTTCAGTTTGTTCATTTGTTTGGGTAATTAATAAATTCATTATTCTTTCATTCATTTTCTTTTCGGCTTAGTCCCTTTATTAATCCGGGGTCACCACAGCAGAATGAACCGCCAACTTATCTAGCACATTTTTACACAGCGGATGCCCTTCCAGCTGCAACCCATCTCTGGGAATAATAAACTCATTAATCTTCATTAATTTTAGACATGGCATATCTCGTATGATGTACAATAAAGGCACGTAAAAAAAGAAGTTATTTATACAGTATATGAAAAGTGTTTTTAAAATAAACATAGATTTTTATTTGGTTTGCACATGTACTTGCTGAATTATTTCAAAGAATAAATTGCAATATTTCAAGTAGAATTAATTAAATGAATAAAAACTACATTATTTCATTTACCAGAAACAAAAATATAACATTACACTGAATTCATTATTTTTTTTGTGTGCCACCCCAAGATTTGGTGCGGCCTCTTCTGGCCACCCCTAAGAAAATTTTCTGGGGGCGCCACTGTACCGAACATACAGGAGATATAGCCCTTTTACAGCAATTTGCTGTAATCGTGCTAATCTGATTAATTTCACAATAAAGTTCTGAATACAACATACTACTGTGAATTTATACAGTTAAATCATGTAAAGTGATACTAAAGTAATTTACTGTGGAAAAATTACAGTAACATGTTTTTTACTGTTTTTTTTTTTTTTTTTTTTTTTTACAGTGTATGCTTCCGTCTAAAGCTATTTTTAATATAATTTTGTTTCGTAATTTCCTGTATTTTCTTTATTACATGTACTTTTTTATTCTCATAGTGGAATGCTGATTGTTTGTCTACATTTTTTATGTCAAAACAAGAATACAATTTTTTATTTATTTTTAAAGTGGATCTTACAGAAACGCTTGGGTATTGGAAAGTGATTGTAATTCTGCAATTGTTTTACAGCTTTCTTGCGGCGACTGCCCTTCATTCTCACCCCGTTTTCTTTCTTCTTTCGCAGGTATGGCAGTTTTGAGGATTGTGAAGGAGAGCGTAGCCAATGTCAGACTGGAGAGAGCAGAAAAGCTGTTAGAAAGTAAGTTCATTCTCAGCCATGGTTATCTGTGCTGCTTTATCTGCATTGACTTCCGTGCAGCTCTCGTGTTTGTTGTTTCATTTCCATGGAGGATTAAAAATTGAGGTCAAGCTCTGTTTTATTATGTGTGAGTGTGGAAGCAATTAGAAAAAAAAGGCCACTGATGAATGACGGTGTTTGATTGCTTCATGAATCAAAGCATCGCAGTTGAATTGTTGGTTTTCTCTGATTTATGCAAACATCTCTGTGTTATTCTTTCAGAGCTTTGGCCTCTATTCTGAGAGCCTGGCTGGATCAGTGTCCAGAGGACTTCCAGGAACCTCCGTCATATCCGAGCTTGCATCGTGTGCTGGGTTTCCTGCAGAAGGCCATGCCAGGCTCAGAGCCAATGCGCCGCGCTCAGAGTCTGCTAGAACAATTGCGTGTCCAGGCCAGCCTAGAGAACGAGACTGAAGGTAAGTCGTATCCGCTTACTGTTAACTATTTTAGCCATCCTGTCTAACTTTTTACCTCTTTGTCGGGGAAGTTTAGACGGGATACAGCTGTGGATACTCGCATCAATATAGCACTGTAGAACAATAATGAATACTTTTACATTACTGAGAAGGGAAGGTTAAGGTTTGCGGTGGGGGTAGACATTAATTACATACAATTTAATGGCTAATTTAATAAATTATATAAATAATACTCTGTATAATTACTGTTTTTACATTACTGTGATAGTTGGGGTTTTTAATCGCATGTCGGAAAGCATTTTAGCTTTCCTGTAAAATATAATGATGACAGAAGAAGTTGTGGTGCCACCTAAAGGCTTTCTTCGGTTACTAATTAAAGGTGTTATCTGTCTTTTTTAGCTTGCATTAATGCATTCAGTGTGTAGGTTAAACATTAAAAGATCGAGATCTCAGTTCAAACACCCATGCAACATAAATTATAAATGATGTGATGAGTTGCATCTGTTTATTAATCCTTCGTCGCGCTGCATTCAAATCTCCATTTTATTTAAAGAGAGATTCAGTTTTTACACTTTTTCAGTTAATTATAAACAATCATTTTTACAGAAGTACTGTGATAACCGTTTAAAGTTGAGATATAAACACTGATGTTTATGGTAAAGATTAAAATCACCTTTAAAAAATATGTCACAGAATGGTTCTTTAAAAAGTATGCATCTACTAATGAAACATGAAGTAAATTATTGAATCAATAATTAAAAATGAGATTAAAAAATAAATATGATGTGGTGTAAAAGATTATGTTAGAATGTTAAATCTAGCATTATCAGCAACAGTAGCAAAATCATTTTTCACAGTATTGAGTATTGTACTTTTTTATTCTGCCTATATCTTTGTTTATTAATAATAGCCATAACATTATGTATAATGTAAGAATACAAAGAGTATCAAGACATTTTAAAAATTTGAAAAAAAAAACAAAACAATAATAATGTCACCCGTCCATACATGGTATAATTGTCACAAATTTTGTCAAAACATTTCTCACTTTGATGTTACATAAAGGTAGTTGCAATGGTTGATGCAATGATTGCAACCCATCTCTGGGAAACATCCATACACACTCATTCACACTCAAGTAAAGTAAAGACAATGTAGCCTATACCAATTCACCTGTACCGCATGTCTTTGGACTGTGGGGAAAAACTGAGCACCCAGAGGAAACCCACGTGAACACAGGGAGAACATGCAAACTCCACACAGAAATGCCAACTGACCCAGCCGAGACTTCAACCTGCGACCTCCTTGCTGTGAGATAGCACTACCTATCCCTGCGTCGCCTGGTATTTCTTTATTTTTATTAAAATTACAGGTTGTAAATTATGTTTGTTAAAATCAAATGACATTTGTCTCCTCCCCTTTTTTGCTGATCTGAGAAATGGTCCGATCCATGACTCGAAAACTGCAGTGTGATCCAAACCGTGAGATTTGTGATCAGTTACACCACTAGCGGCTAGACATTAATAAAATCCATCCATTGATTCTCTTTAACTTCCGACCACAGCTGTATCCCTTCTAGCAACAACCCTCTTTGTCCATTCACGTATGTCTTCCTGTGCATACAAAAACATCTGCTGTCCGTTTGTTGCAGGAGGCTTTCAGTACATCAACCCGTTTTGCCTTGGGGAGGATGAGGAAGTGGAGATTGACTTGCAGGAGGACTTCTTCTCCTTCGAGGTTGACCTCGTAGCAGAGCAGCTGACCTATATGGATGCGGTGAGAGAAAAAAAAAAGATTAAATCTGTTGTCCACTAACTATTCGAGTCATGGTGATTTTAATTGTTCCAAACATATTAACTGGTTAGTTCACATCAGAATGTAAGCTTTTTTTTTGGTAAACATTTACTCGCGCTCAAATCATTCTAAAATCATTACAACTTTTGCTCATATTGTGAACACAAAATGAAGACATTTTCAATTATATCTAAGAGATTTTTGTCGCTCCATTAAAAGCCTACTCATCCTTTGATATTTTAAAACAAATAGAAAAATATGGATCTGCATGAATCAAACAGCATAATCCAAGTCATCTAAAGAGATGTAAACAAAAAATTTTTAAACAATATGAACATTTTGAAGTGTCACCAAGATGTACAAACATCCATTTAGTTTTGGAATGATACAAGAGTGAGTAAATACTAATAGAATTTCTATTTCGAGCTTGAACTTATCTTTTAATAATAGTCCTCAGATGTCATCTGCCAGAGCTATATTTATCTTTTCTCCTTTAAAATGCATAATATTCCCATTGGAAACCTTTATAAACAATAGTTCACCCAAAAATATTACTTTTATTTACTATTTACTCAAGTGGTTCTAAACTTTTATTAGTATTTTTCTGTTGAACACATTTTCTATTGATAAAATCTGTGAAATATTTAGCAAACCGGTAACAGTAGAAAAATACTTTTAGTCAATGGGGTACCAGTTTCCAAAGTTCTTCAAATTATCTTAATTTTTGTTTTTGTTGCTAATCATAAACTCTGCGTACCCGGTACCGGGTCCGTGACTTCATTTACTTACGCGTTCTTTACATTTTAAACTTTAAATTTTACTGGCCCAATAACCCCATAGATGGTTCTATTCCAACTGATGAGAAAACAGAATAACTTTTGCATAGATTATGATAGATACATTTTTCTATACATACATTTTTTTTCCTATGATTACTGACATGTTCAGGAACCAACAAAATTATTTACGGCAACCAAACCACACCAAAGTTTTTGTTTTTGTTGCGTTTACAAAAAAAAGCACTTCTTTTTTTTGGAGGGATTTATTATAACACACACAACATATGCAAGTATTTAAATCACTTTCAATTGTGTTTTATGAAATTTTAAAGGGTTTTCTTTAAAACGATACCAAACTTTTGCATTTACACCTCTGCATGTGTATTTGGAAAGCTTTTGAATTAGGGTAGGCAAAATCCAGACAGAAAGCCCACAATAGCACTTGACTTTAAAAACTGAATTATGCCTTTTCAGTGAACTATCCCTTTTAAGCATTAATTCACTTAAAAAATGAAATTGCTGTTATTAATTACTAACACTCATGTCAATCAAATCCACTGAGACCTTCAATCATCTTCAGAACACAAGTTAAGATATTTTAGATGAGCATACAGCAATGGATCAGAGATGTTCAAAGTCCAAAAAAAATTGTCAAAACATTCCATATCAATAGTTCAACTGTAATCATATGAAGCTCCAAGAACACTTTTACGTCTTTTGTGTCAAATCAGGATGAATGTTTACTACTAGCAATATGGGGCTTCCATGTTGTACTGCTGACTCTAATGCCCAATACATCTTACTGCTTGTAGTGAATGTGCACCGTGACTTGACTTGGTCGAAAAGGTTATCTACCAAGCATCATTTTTAGTTCTTCTTTTTTTACCACACAAAAGTGTTGATGGAGCTTTGTATGATTACATTTGAACCACTGATATCACAGGGAATGTTTTTGCAATGCTTTTGCTTCCCTTTCTTGACTATGAATGTGTCTGAATCATTATTTTCTATGGATAGTCAAGAAGGCCTCGAATTTCTCCTATGATATCCTAACTTTTGTTCTGAACGTGAACAAAGGTCTCATGGGATTGGAAGTACTTGAAGGAGAGTTATAAATAACAATAAACAAACAATAATAAACTTTTTGGATGAACTAACCCGTTAAATAAATATGAGATACATAAATGTGAATGGCATACAGATTATTAAAAGGAATCTTTAATCTGATTATGCAACAAGAACTTTATTTTTGTATGTTCATTGCCTCAAGCACTGAAAAGCTTCCTTCCTTTCACAGCTGTTATTTAAGAAGGTGGTTCCTCATCACTGTTTGGGCTCGATTTGGTCTCAGCGTGATAAAAAGGATGGCAAACAGAGTGCACCAACCATCCGTGCCACCATCACGCAGTTTAACGCGGTAACGGCGTGTGTGGTCAGCACTATCCTCCGTCAGCGGCAGATACGCCCGCATTTGCGTGCTCGCATCATACAGCGCTGGATCGACATCGCACAGGTGCATAAACCAACACACGAACACACACATTCTTTAATGGTCAAGCAGTCAAATTTGACTTTATGCTAACATTTGGCCTGCGTTTAAAGCTAACAAGCGTACACATTTCAGATTAAAATCTATCCATGTTGCATGATTTTCATGCAAAACACAAGATTAAGTTTCAAAGCCTATTTTATGTTTAAAATGTGTTTAAAGTGACACCCAATCCATGTCTTTGTGTGACATAACTATTTTAGATTACATCTAGATCATCCAAAGCCAAAAGATAAACCCAGATAAGCTGCAGATAAATCCTAATGTTGATCTGGAATTTTTACCAGCACTTAAATCCATGTCATTGTGTAACATAACTGTTTTAGATTAGATCTAGATAAGCCAAAGCAGACATAATAATGTTATTGAAACTCCAAAAGGTGTTCTGATAAAGCTTCATTAGGCCCATTTGTATGTGTAAATGTGGATGACGTGTTTTCAGGAGTGTCGCATTCGGAAGAACTTCTCGTCTCTAAGAGCCATCGTGTCTGCTCTGCAGTCCAACCCCCTCTACAGACTAAAGAGGACATGGGCATCTGTTGCTAAGTAAGTTTTGTCAATAAACAAGTCTATCGGTCATTCCTTTATTTTTTAATCTTATGTGAAACTATTTTTTTTTTAATAATAAGTTTGTAATGTTTACCAGTTTATGTAATGGTTGCAGGTTTAGTGTATGGATGCATTTGCATTTGGGATCACTACTTTTAAGAATTTCTACTTTTATTTGGTCTCATGACATGTTCTTCAAACTTTCTGTGCTTAGTCTGTTCCACACTTTAAACTGTGTAAGCATTTTAAATTGATAATTTCATGAGGATCAATTCAGCATGCCAGATTGATTTCAGAAGGATCATGTGACACTAAATAACAGAGTAAAAATTCAGCTTTGCACTCACATGAATAAATTACATTTTAAAAGAAAAGTGTGGTTTTAATTTGTGATACTATTCCACAGCATTGTAGTGCATTGTGCTGTTTTAATATTAATCAAGTCATGCATTCGAATACTTATTTATTGTTTTTGTTTCACTTTTCTGTATCAGAGACAGCATGCAGATGTTTGAAGAGCTTTCTGACATTTTCTCCGACCAAAATAATTACCTTACAAGCCGGGAGCTGCTAATGAGGGTGAGCTCACACACGTCTCTCGGTCTCAGTTGTGGTTTTGTTGTGTTTTCTTTGCACAAAGTTTTTCCTTAGTTAGCTTTCATTAACAATTTGGCTATTGTTAAATTAGATTGACATCATTGTAATCTAGCAAAGTCTTCATTTAGCTCAGTTTAACCAATTTCACTGTCAAATTTTTTAATTATTTTCCTCTAAAATGAGCATGGAGATGTGGAAAAATATACGATTTCCCGCCGTCTTTTTAAAAACAAAATACTTTTATCTGATATTTACAGGAGGGCACTTCAAAGTTTGCCAGTCTGGACAGCTGTGCCAAAGACCACCAAAAAAGGTCACAAAAGAGACTTCAGTTACAAAAAGATATGGTGAGTTAGTTTTTATTTTTTAATGTATGTGTGAGGTATACTTTAGTTTTTTTTTGTCATCAATATTGTGCACAACACCTGCTTTCAAATACTAGTTTCAGCACAAGGTATCAGCATCGAACCAGGCATTTGTCATATAGTCTTCATATTACAGAAGATGACAAAAGACTCACTGATGTCTTTTGTCATCTTCTGTAATATGAAGACTATATAACAACTGCCTGGTTCGATCTGATACCTATGTTTACATGGACATCAGTAATCAAATTATTTGCCTTAATCAGAATAAGACAATAATATGATTAAGGCATTTACATGAGTTCCTTTGTAAATGTTCCTTTCATGATGCCGTTTTACATGTTATAGAGCATAATTTGATTAACGTCATTGCGTCACTACGCTATCCACATTTCTTCTGGAGTTTCATGTATTTTCTGGTGTTTCATCTTTAATTTGTTCAGTGCATTTTGCCACTTTCACTTTTATTCGGGAACATTTTGCTTTAATTTGTTCACTGCATTTTGCCACTTTCACTTTTATTCGGGAACATTTCATGCATGGCCCCCATGACAAATGAGATATTAGATGTGAGTACAAACTGCTGGAAGAGTGTTGTTTTAATGGAATCTGATACCGCACGCCATATGGAGAAAAAACCCTCTACATTTCATGGTGCAGGTGTCTGTGGTTCTTCTCTGACTGTGTAGGTGCAGAGAATAGTGTCAAACTGCCGTGTGTGTATAGACTATCCTGATGCAAAATGCGGCGAAAAGTCCTACACGACGGTAATTTTTTGATTAAGGTGTTTACATGTCTGTACTGCACGTCAATAATGTGACTAAAACCAGCATACTCCACATATCTTAATTCATTTTCTGTTTAGTTCGATTATGATCTGAATTGGACTAAATAAATCAAAAATCGCTGTTTACATGGTAGACTCGGAGTATAATCAGAATATTGTCTTAATCATATTTAAATCAGATTATTAGTGTCCATGTAAACGTACTCCGTTTTGACAAGTGCATGTGTAAAAAGATATATGCTACTCTATTTTAAAGAAGTGCAAACACATTTTTTGTAACTTTTGAAGAGGAATAGCTCACTTGGCACTTAGCAGTGTTTACACTGGTGTGTTTTTGTTTTAGAAGGGACCTATCATGCAAAAATCACTTTTATAAAGAGTTTAAACACAGTTGTGTGGCAACAGTTTGTGAATATGGCCAGCTTCTAATAGTAAAAAGTAATTAATTCAAATTTTTTTATAATCACACTTCATAAAAACAGTCAGTAGAAACACTTTGATTGACATTCTCCTTTTGTAAATGTCATCAGAGGGGAAAAGCCCTGCCTATTAGTGATGGTCTTAGTATAGGACTTTAGTTGTTGTTTTTTAATCTGCCGCTTTGCTGACTCATAGCGATTTGTAGCCCCACCCTCATTTGAAAAGTTGGCTGAAAGCACAATATCATTTAAATTTAAAGTGACAGTCATCAAAATGGCACAATTAGGATCAAAGCCTAAAAGGGGCATTTTTAAGAGTTATAAAACATTATTAGAGACAGCAGAGTTATTACTGTGTTTCAGAAAAATTATATCCGTCAACTCTATACAGCTTAAAATTGTGTGACTATGATTATGTGACCATTAATGCACTTAGAATCTGTGCTTACTAATTTTGCTGGCATCCACATCTATATCCGCCCTCTACTCATTGTGTAGTGGTCTTATGGAAGCGGCTTGACAAATCAGGGAATAATACATAATAGATAATTGTCCAGACTACCAATCAGATAGCATCTGATCATAGCCACGCCTCTATTCTTAAAAGTTTTAATTTCAGTCAGTCTATACTGAAAAGGTGCACCAGCATTTCCGATTTTAAAAGAGAGTCTTAAGTGTTTCAAAGCACTTCGTTTTCATGGGTCAAAGATGTCAGAGTAGTGTAGGTAGTAGTAAAACTGTAAACTAAATGTGGATATATTATTTTACATACTCTAATGCAGGGGTGTCCAATAGGTTTAGCTCCAACTTGCTTCAACACACCTGCCGGAAGTTTCTAGTACATCTAGTAAAGCTGCGGTCACACTAGCTTTTCGCCCCATTGACTTTCATTCATACGGATGCAGATGCGACAGAACGGTGTTGTGTGCTAGAGGCGCATGAAGAGTTCAGATGCAAAAGCTGCTAAACACTTCTGCCAAAATTGAGCTAATGACATTGAGCGAATGATTTAGGCACGTACTATATGTTCAACAAACATTTTTTTGCTTTAAATCATCTAAATCCCAGCGTCAATGCATTCAGAAATAACAGATAGTTGGCAAAAGCCTCTAAACGCCACTTCCCATTGATAGCAAAAGCTGATATGTCCCGAGAAGCAATTGAAAGACGCGAATTGAATCATACGTGTTCAATGTAACAGTGCGCTGAAATGCCAGCTTTTATGAGGAGACAGTTTTATTCCACTTGCGAATAAGATTTCAAAAGATGGAGTTTGATGAATTGGATGAGACTGTCCCACTGTCAGTGAATGGGAAATAAAAACGTCTCTTACCTCAAAACTATGTGCATTATAAGAAAAAGAAAACACAATGTACAGTCGGAAGTGTAGCATACATTCATAACGTTTTTTCACGCAATGACATCACTTTAAATGAGTCCGATGCATAGATGCTATGAGGATAAACAGAAGACAAAAAAGAGACCAAGACCTTGGGTATTTGCAAAAAAACACAACTGGATTTAGCTGGTTTTGACGCAAAATAAAATCTAAAGTGTCTAAAGTGACATTTAAAAAAAAAAGTTAATTTATTTACCAGCTAATAACCTTTTCCTTATGTATAAAATCAAACTTCTGAACCTAATTATAGGAGCCTGATAGAAAATGCTCATTGACAAGAAAAGAGGTCTGATGAGCTTGATTAGCTGATTCAGGTATGCTTGATTAGGCTTGAAGCTAAACTCTCCAGGACACCGGCCCTCCAGGACTGAGTGTAGACACCCCTGCATTAACATATGCTGAAGTATACTTTGTGCTGTAAAGTGTTAAATATTGTGGCTGAAAGAGTGTTGTGTTTTTAATATACATCACTTTTTTTATCTCCAGGGTGCCATGCAGGGGACTATCCCATACCTGGGTACATTTCTCACAGATCTGACCATGCTTGACACAGCCCTGCCTGACCAAGTGGAGGTGAATCAGCTGCACATCCACCAGACATTTCCACGAAAATCTTATAAAGCTTTATCTGTAGTTATACTATTGACCTAGCGTTCCCAGACCGCTAAGGTATTCGTTACTAAGGTTTATTTGGCTTTATTATGGATTGTTTCACAAGAACTTTTCATGAGTAAAATCATGTGGAGAATCTGGGCTAAAAGTCTCTCTCTGTTCCTCGCAGGGAGGACTGATTAATTTCGAGAAGCGGCGCAGGGTAAGTACAACATTCCCTGTTATTTGGTCTTTATTATAGTCAAAACATCCTTCCTTCATGGCTGTGGGCTGCATCGAGATCTTTGGGAACGTTGAAGCAGTTTTGTCTCTTTACAGGAGTTTGAAGTGATCGCTCAGATTAAGCTCCTGCAGTCTGCTTGCAACAGTTACTGTCTGACCCCTGACCCTGCATTTTTGCGCTGGTTTAAAAGTCAGCCGCAGTACTCAGAGGAGGAGAGGTATGCACGACGTTTCACTTAATACTTCACTGGTGCGGAATTTTGTGTCTTAAAGCTAATGTATGTTTGTCATGTTTTGCAGCTATGTGCTGTCATGTGAAGTCGAAGGACTGGGAGACAACAGCCCGACTTCACCAAAACCCAGAAAAAGCATGGTGAAGAGACTGAGCCTGTGAGTCGACTAAAATATTGTCTGAAGTCATATTGTGTGTTTACACTTTCAGCTTGCTTTAGTGTACAATGTTACTGACGTTCTGCAAAGTTCACTCTAAAGGGAGTTTATGTCTAAACGTCCTCTTTCGAAACTTCTAAATTGTTTTTTGTTTTCAGAAATAGCATGTAAAACTTAGGGGAGTTTGTTAAGTCGTGACGTATGAAATACTGTTTCCTGGTCTAAGCTGCTACTCATTTGAATTGAGAAAATCGTTTATGACCACTTTTAAGTCATCTCATGGTGTACACTGTAGTGTCTGGACTTGCTGTATCACAGATATCAATATTGTAGCAATTTGTAAACAATTTATCATTTTCCAGATATTAGGCATGGTTATAAATATTGCGATCATGATTTTTTCAAAAGTAATACATCGCTTTGTAAATGTTTATTAATATCATTAAAGTCTCCTCATACAGTTTGATACTTAACAAGCGGATAGGTGCCATTTACAGCATATTATCACAGTAAAGGACATGTGAGGTCATTTGAAATGAAACCTCACAGACACATTTAAGGGACAAATCTAAACATAATAGGACCTGTTCTGGCCTTTTGGCTGAGGTTGCAGATGTATGCTTGTGGCCTTGGTTTTCAAACGCACTTCTCTATCTGCTTTCATTAGATTCGCTTGTTTATTAAACAACAAAAATGCATCAAGATTAAGCTGAAAATGATATCAAACTAAATTGGATACAAAACAATCTATTGCCTAACAATGCACAAAGTGGACAAAAAATTGTGTCCCACTCCCTTTCCTTTCAAAAATGACCCTTTTAAATGTTTAGTTCAACCAAAACTAAAAGCTCTGTTATAATTTACTCACCCTTTACTTGCTCCAAGCCTGTTTGACTTTTTTTATACTGTTAAAATAAAGAAGACATTGAAGAAAGCTGAAAAACTGTAACCATTCAGTTTTATCGTAATTGTTTTTCCTACGATGGAAGTCAATGGTTACCGGTTTACAGCTTTCTTCAAAATATCTTCTTTTGTGTTCAACAAAAAAGAAACTCATAAAGGTTTGGAACCACTCGAGGGAGGGTAAATAGTGAGTAAAGTTTCAGATTTGGTTGAACTATTCCTCTAAGATAAAAATAACAATTTTGAGAATCACTTTTCTATGTTTGATTTAAAGTCAGTTTCATGCTTATACACTCCAAAACATTAATTTTAGCAGATTTATGACCCTTCAAAGGGGATCATTAAGATTTCCAAAGAAATGTAAGAAAGCATCAAATGAATCGTGTGTTAGTAAAAGCATTTAAAAATGGTTGAGAAAACATATTTTAAAGCAATTCAGATTGTTTGTTTTTAATATCAGAAAGAATTGTGTAAAAAGTGTACAACAGTTACCGCAAAAATATTAAGCAACCCTGTTTTCAAAACTGATAGCAAGTACTAAGTAAACATACTAGCATAATTTCTGAAAGATTGTGAGACACTGAGGACTGCAATGATGGCTACCTTTGACGTTAAAGGAATAAACTTTTTTTTTTTTAATATTAAAACCAAAACATTTAGTTTAGGTTGAAATGTTTCACAGGTTTTAAATGTAGTCTTAATCAATTAAATACAGTCTTGGTGCAATATATTTCTTAAAAAACATAAATAAATTAAAAAAGCTATCTTATTATTAAAAAGAGTGCATAGCAAAAAAAATAACATCATATATTTTATAAAACAGTGTTTCCTTACATGAAATAATATAGATTCAAATGTCTTAATGTCTTATAAGTATTTCCTTTAGGTTAGTTTAACTTGAAGTAGTTTTATCTTGACCTAATAAAAGAGCTAAAATGTAGTAAAAGAGATAACGTATTATTTCAGCTAGTTACCGAGGAAGCATTTCTCATTTTATTGTTATTACCTGACCTAATAAAAATAATACAACTGAATAAAAACAGAAGAAAAAATACAAATGATAAATAATTTTTTAATAAAATAATAATAATAGTTCCATTAATTAATATGAAGTATTTAAAATGTATTGAATTTCCAACATTTTAATTGTAGTTTTAAATCCTGCCTTTGTTAGCAGAATTTATTTCTTAAAAAACAAATTAAAATAAAATCTAACTGACCTCGAAATTTCAAACTAATAAACTACTTTAAGCTATGCATATTGAAAATATAAATGAGGTTATACCAATTTTAAATCTTTTATGTATTTTATATGTCTCTTATTTATTTTTATTTTTTTTGTGTTTTCTTCCAACCTCTAGACTCTTCTTAGGTAATGACAGCACAAACACCAGCTCTCCTGTGAGAGAAAGTCCTCGATCGCCTCCTACTGGCAGCTCTGGGGAGAGCATGGACTCGGTCAGCGTGTCCTCCAGTGACTCCAGTCCCTCAGAGAGTGACGGCATGACACCGACACACTCTATAGACGCTCACTTGAAGAAGGTACAAGCAGCTTCAATCACACCCAAATAGCAGCTTTTAATAAATACACATATTAACTGTTCATCTATTTCATCTTACCGTAGCTGTCCGAGTCTTCCTCCTGCAACTCATTGCACTCCATGGACACCTCGTCTTCTACAGCAAGCGCCTCCATTTCTCTGGCGTCCCCGACTTTACCCGGGCCACCCTGCAACCACCGGCGCTCCATCTCACTGACGCCCTTGATGAGCCCCACCTCACCCGGGTTTCCACCCGCCTATAACACGCAAGCTCAAGATGCCTGCATCATCCGAGTGAGCCTCGAACAGGGGAATGGCAACCTCTACAAGAGCATCATGGTTAGTGAGGATCTGAATATTGCTAATCCATTTTTAGCAAGAGCGCATGGCTAAAAAATATATCACATATTTTATAAAACAATGTTTACTTAAATGGAAAAAATGGATTAATTTTTTATATCAGTATTTTTTAGATCAGTTTAACTTGTAGTGTATTAATTATCTAATTAAAGAACTAAAATTACATTTCCAACTATTTTTTTAGCTCTATCCAACATTAATAGTGGAGAAAAATATATAACAGTCATTGACTTAATAATTACACACATTATTTTAATGATTAATTTTAGGACAACTTTAGGAGCATATAGGTTTATGGTTAAAAGCAATGTTTGTCCTAATAGCACTGGGTTTATGAAGAGCGCAGTTGTAAAATGAACTGTTTTTCCATGCAGCTGACCAGTCAGGACAAAACTCCAGCGGTGATCTCTCGAGCCATGACCAAACACAACCTGGAGGGCGAGCAGGCGGCTGACTATGAGCTGGTGCAGGTCATCTCAGAGGAGAGAGGTACCACATTTATTTTATTTTTTTTGATGCATCTTGTATCTAGGGGTGTGAGATATCTATAATTTATGATGATATCATAATTGTTGTTTTGGCAATGTGTGAGCTGGCATTATAGTGTATGTCACTCAAAGCACAAAAAGCAAGCAAAATCATTGTTTTAGAGACTAAAAGCATTTAATGTGTGATGAATTACAATGCAGTTAGAATGTATATATAAGTTATGAAAGAAAAAAGCTATTTTTTTCATATCTACAGTTGCAGTCAGAATTATTGGCCCCCCTTTGAATTTTTTATTCTTTTTTAAATATTTTCCAAATGATGTTTCACAGAGCAAGGACATTTTCACAGTATGTCTAATAATATTTTTTTTGTCTGGGGAAAGTCTTATTTGTAGTATTTTGGCTAGAATAAAAGCAGTTAAAAAAAAAAATTTAAAACCCTTTTAAGGTCAAAATGATCAGCCCCTTCAAGCTATTTTTATAGCATCATTATACAAAAACTTGTCTAATTTCCCTAACCTGCTTAGTTAACCTAATTAACTTTTTTTTACATGTCATTTTAAGCTGTAAAAGGGTCTTAAAAATATCTAGTAAAATATTATTTGCTGTCATCATGGCAAAGATAAAATAAATCAGTTATTAGAAATGAGTTATTAAAAATATTACATTTAGAAATGTGTTGGAAAAATCTCTCTGTTATACAGAAATTGAGGAAGAAATGAAAAGGGGGGCTAATAATTCTGACTTCATATGATATCATTTATTTAAATTACAGAGAGGGGTGCCGATTCCTAATTATCAGCACAAGAACATGATTACAGACGTGATATTAATTTTATTCAACAGTTCAACAAACAGTATGTTGATACTGAGTGAATAACATTTTATGACCTGGTTTTTCTTAACGAAAGTAGTTTCAAACAAAGCCAGATTAGGAGATTTGTCCTCAGCAGCACCGCTGTGTTTTGTTCTTGATCTAATATGAATCATTTGAGTCAGTGATTCAGTGATCCATTGAAGAAAGTGTTTTGCTTCATTTCTAAATGAATCCAATATTTGGAGGAAATCATTTAAATAAATAATTCTGTGAATCACTTTGTACGATGGGGAGTTGTCGCCAATAGCGGTGCTCTTAGCGTGACAATCGATTGCACTTTGGGCATGCTCATTTCGAGTCCTGGCTTGCAGACCTTTTCCCATCCCAACCTCTTTTTCTATTCAAGATTGCTTCCTGTCTACATTCTGTCCTATAATAATAGCCAAACAAATGCCAGAAATAAATCTTTAAAAATAATATTTTTCCACAAATTCCCCCTGAAATGTCAATGCACACTGAGGAAAAAGACGAGTGAGACAGTTTAAAACAGTACGGTACAGGTCACCTTTTGCAAGCTTGTGTCTTCACCGCCGAATGTTACCCTTTAACAGGTGTGGTGTTTGACAAAGTTGTAGAGATTGCCATTCTCGCTCGAAGTTCACATATTGTATGAGAAGCACTTCTTACTAAACAAATGCTTTAATTAACATTTATACATAAGTATATACTAACCTTTCTATGAACACAATTTGATTATAGCTGTAGATAAAGTGAAATAGCCTACTGTAATGTTTGCAATGATATAAAATAAATAAATAAATGAATGAATATATGAACACATACAGGGCCTTGAGGTTTTGTCTTGTTTCTAGTGCAAATGTCTAAAAATTGTTAAATCAAGAAGCCTTTTCTAGGCAAGCAAAAAATATAGTCTTGTTTTCAGAAATAAGTCTATTTTGCTTACCTCATTGGCAGATTATTTAGCTTGTTTTAAGGAAAAACACTTAATTTTTTAAATATTATTTCTGAAAAGACAAAAGTTTTACCTGTCTAGAAAATGCTTCTTAATTTCGGAATTTTGGGATATTTGGACTAGAAACAAGACAAAATATTTAGTTTTGTCAGTATCCACACTCTTACTTGTATCAATTTAGATGTCTTACAGTGGAAAACCAACATAATGTTCTACAAACATCTTTTTGTTCTCCAGAGCTGGTTATCCCCGACAACGCTAATGTGTTTTACGCCATGAGCACATCGGCGAACTTCGACTTCCTGCTGCGTCTACGAGGCTCCGAGGGAAGGCCGGTTCAGCTCCGCAGCCGCTGCAGCTCCACACTCCCGTGCACACAGCAGCGCTCCAGTCTGTCCCTCAGACTCAGCAAGGTCACCCTGTGACGAAAAGACTGGAGGAGTGCTGAAAAGTGGGCTCAGTAGACAATTGCTCGGGGAGCATCTCCAGTTCTTCCATTTCTGCCTTTTGAAACAAAAAGGGCACTTTCAGAATAATAGCATGTGCCTCCACCTCCCCATCTGGCCCTATTTTATCCCATCCTCCCTATTGCTGGATATTTTGCACACATGCAGGAAAGTCTCCTGCTCCTCGTCAGTATTTGCATAAGAGCACATCTCTTCCCAGGCATGAGGCCTATTTGACCTCCTCTAATAAGTGAGAGGGGAATGAATTAAGCTTTGGGAAGAGAACTCAAATGACAGCCATGTTGCCTTTATGGATGGTAACGGTGGAACTCTTGCGTCAGTATTGAAGATGATCTGCAGTAGCTATGATGTCATCGTCGTCATTGTCATCAATGTGTCTTTCGCCCGTCCCCTTGTGCACTGTGTGGACAATGTGGACTCAATCTATAGATTATAGGGATAGATCAGCCAAAAATGGCTTTTTGTCTTAAATTGTTCCCCCTCCACTGGTTCTTAACTTGTTTGACTTCCTTCTGTTGAACACAGAAGAAGATATTTTGAAGCATGTTGGAAACCGGTAGCCATTGGCTTCCATTTTTTTCCATACCTTAGATCTCAATAGCTACCATTTTCCAACTAATTTCCAAAAGGTTTTCAAAACACTATTGGGTGAGAAAATAGTAAGTAAATTTTCATTTTTGGGTGAACTATCCCCTAAAATGCTTAGACTGGCTCACTAAGAACTCCTATTTTGAGGCCAAACTTGAGAATAAATAAATAGTTTGTGCTAGATATTATAATTAATAGATATATACGTTTAAAAAAGTCTTAAACCTCATGTCTGCCTATATTCTCTCTGCCTAATCTAAGCATTTTATTTCTATTTCTGTATTTCTCATATTGTGAGCTGCATGACGAATGCCTTAAATGCGTTCTGATTGGTTCCTGCTTGGTTTTATCAAGTCTGTGGTGTTTGTTTGTTTTCACTGTTTTCAGGGTGTGTCTTTAAGGTGTGGTTACAAGCACCGATAGGATGGGTTTCTGTTCAGAAACCTGGATTGAGTCGCCTTCCTCACTGATACAGTGGCACTTCCTGTGGAGTGGACAGATTGTGCGTGTGTGTGTGTGTGTGTGTATATGTGTTTGTGTGTGTGTGTGTGTGTGTGTTGAGTGTGTATGCTAGATGGAGCGCTTGGTCCACTTTTTTTGTAGCTTTCCTGTCTTTTTTTCTTCAGGCAGTGCTATATTAATGGTATACTTTTCTTTTATATATATGAATGCGTGTATGTTTTTTGTAAGAGATGAAGAATTATCCATGATTTCTATGAAAAAAAGGAAGTTTTAAAGAGATTTTGTTAACTAAAAAAAGAAAAAATGTAAAAAGCTGTGAAATATGAGTGTGTGTGATTGTAAAGTGAGCATTAAAACAAGTCAGATATTTCCATTAACCAGCAGAAATATTCAATTGTACCCCTGTTGCCAACATTTTCCAGAGCCTTTAATACCTTTAAGACTTTGTACACCTGGTGAATATCAGTTCACAAATGCATGTTTTACACTGTGGCGTATTAACATCAAAAGGTTTCAGAGTTTCAAAAGGCTTTTTTTTGTTCTTAATCCTGTTTGTTCTCTACATAATTCTCATGAGCCTGGTATGTAACACATTTTCTCTGACTCCTGTTGATATGTTAACAGATGTGCCAAACTTGCCCCCTTTGCCTTTTTGTTCACTCACTATAATTGAAAGACCCTTATTTTTGTTACATTGTACATGTAGGACTTCGATGACACTAACAGATTCAACGTGGTAAAATGTAGTGTTTTAACAGTAGCGGGGCAGCAGTATTTGTTTGTGTTTTGATTCATTTGTCTTGATTTCAGATTTTTTTCAGCACTTGTGAATTTCTCCTCAGTTCTTTATTTTGAATATTTCTTCACTACCAAAGAGTTATCTACGGCGAGTCAGTGAATAAATTATTATCATTATGATGTTTTGTAATTTGAATATTAATTTTCATGAATTAAATGAAGACTCTGAAATGTACTGTGGGGTTTGACTCAGTTTGACTTTTCTTGCAGCACATAAACTTTAATATCTGCTTCAGCTCTGTTATTGTTCTCGCATATATTTCTGTTATTGTTAACTGAAAGTCATGGAATTCATTTTTGGTAACTGAATAAAATATACATGTAACTTACAAATTAACCAACAAGTCAGTTAGATTTCCAAAATAAAAACTACAATAAATAAACCGTACCTAAATCTAAAATTATAAGTTATGTGATTAAAACATTAATAAGTACTATATTGATTCCAGACTATTTACTGAGTACAATTTCTGGAAGCAAAGTGGGATAATATTTCAGTACAGTGCATTATCATGGTGAACATGTCACCATCTTACTCATCACTTTTATCTCGAATGATTAGCTGAAGTGTAAAGGCTGCTTTTTACTGCTGGTATCACGTAATCATAAGATTCTATACTCTATCTTGGTTGTTGTCAGAGCTGTTACTACATTAGGCATAAACTTACCAGCCACATTATTAGGTGCACCTGTCCAACTGCTCGTTAATGCATATTTCTAATCAGCCAATCACATGGCAACAACTCTTTGCATTTAGGTATTAAGACATGGTCACAATGATCTCCTGCAGTTCAAACCGAGCATTAGAATAGAGAAGAAAGTTGATTTAAGTGAAATTGAACATGGCATGGTTGTTGGTGCCAGACGGGCTGGTCTGAGTATTTCAGAAACTGCTGATCTACTGGGATTTTCACACACAAGCAACTACAGGGAATGGTTTAAAAAAGAGAAAATATCCAGTGAGCAGCAGTTCTGTGGGCACAAATATCTAGTTGATGCCAGAGGTAAGAGGAGAATGGCCAGACTGGTTCCAGCTTATAGAATAGCAACAGTAACTTAAATAACCACTCGTTACAACCGAGGTATGCAGAAGAGCATCTCTGAATGCACAACATGTCCAACCTGAGGCAGATGGGCTACAGCAGCAGAAGACCACACCAGATGCCACTCCTGTCAGCTATGAACAGGAAACTAAGGCTACAATTTGCACAGGCTCACCAAAATTGGACAATAGAAGATTGGAAAAACGTTGCCTGGTCTGATGAGTCTCGACTTCTGCTTCGACATTCGGATGGTAGGGTTAGAATTTGCCATCAACAACATGAAAGCATGGATCCATCCTGCCTTGTATCAATGATTCCAACTAGTGGTGGTGGTGTAATGGTGTGGGGGCTATTTTCTTGGCACACTTTGGACCAATTAAGTAGAAAAATTGAGCATTTTGTGAACGCCAAAGCCTACCTTAGTATTGTTGCTTACCATGTCCATCTCTTTATGACCAGAGTGTGCCCATCTTCTGATGGCTACTTCCAGCAGGATAACATGCCATGTCATAAAGCTCGAATCATCTCAGACTGGTTTCGTGAACATGACGATGAGTAAACTGTACTCGAATGGCCTCCACAGTCACCAGATCTCAGTCCAATAGAGCACCTTTGGGATGTTTTGAAACAGGAGATTCGCATCAAGGATGTGCAGCCGACAAATTTGCAGCAACTGCGTGAGGTTATCATGTCAATATGGACCAAAATCTCAGGAATATTTCCAGTACCTTGTTGAATCTACGCCACAAAGGATTAAGACTAAAGGGGGTCCAACCCAGTATTAGTAAGGTGAACTTAATAAAGTGGCCGTTGAGTGTAGATTGTGGATCAAACCAGTACCTCAGATATTTTGTACGGTGATGGATTCAAGATATTTGCTTACATCTCGGGTTATCACTAGCTTCTTTTACCTCAAATGAACTCAAAATATGAATTATAATGATAGCTGGAATACCACCAGCTTTATCAGCATCCTGATAAACCTAGGGTTCAAAATACAGTGAGAGTAAGTATCTTATTAACAGGAAATACATGCCATATTCTTTCATTTATAAGGTCTTATGTTATGAATATGTATATCTATATGTATCTACATCTATCTAAGGGGGGTGGATGGACTCGTTTTACAATATTTTTATAATTTTAAAGTGACTTTCCAAGTCCCGAGCAGTCACAATCTAACAAACCAGTTATACTGATGATAAGTAACGTGTGAAACGTTTTAAGGTTAAAGAAGAAATAAAAATCATGTAATATTTCCTTTTTAAAAAGGCAGAAATCAAAAATAAGTCATCAATAATTGAGGGTTGTTTCATAATAAAGCGTTTAAGAGAGCCTGATTGGTTTGTTTCAAAGAACTCCGCCTAACTTTGCACTTTTATTGCGTCAAGTTGTCACAAGCTCTTGACTAGACAGAGATCAGAGATTCCCACATCCACTACACGCGGGTCAGCGGATCAATAACAGGTCAGTTCACATGACAGCTGTCTGAGAGAATGGCAAAATGATTACAGTGTGTGGGGTGGCAAAGAACAATGTATTTTTCGTCGGCATAATAATGTATTGTCAGTAGACCATCAATTATTATTCTCAAAGAGCGAGCGCGAGCCGTTTTGTCTGTTTGTGTCAATTGTTTTCTCACCCGTACTCAAACTTGCCGCTTCTCAGAATGAAAAACGCGTTTAATATTAGTAACTACAGCACGAAGAATATGTATTGTAAGCTTATAGTGTTGTTTTAGGTTACTGTCTTAAGTTTCAGTCTCGTCTGGCTATTAGATTCCACAAGGATTGAGTGGCGCAACAATAAAATTACTCAGGAAGTGGGTGAAAGTTTACGCCCTTTCCTCCATTCAACGCTCTTGATTTGTCATTACAAAAAAAGATGACGTGATGCTAACTACCACTTCTTTAAAGTGTAGTTCTGATTCTTTAGCGAACAAAGTGTGATTTTTACCAACTTATTAGGACTTTTAAAAGTTTAGCAAAGTTTATTTTTAGGTTCTGTTGTTTGATACGCGTCGTCTTTGGCATCTGAGGTGGCTTGAGAACACACGCCTTTGCACGTTCATCTATTAGTCATTAGTATCATAAATTAACTCATAATCCTAAATGTTTTCTTCTGGGTATATAGAAATAATTTATGTTTATATGAAATGTATTATTGATATTATATAAATGTGTAGCCAACCTTTTTATAAATATTTTTTATATTATATGTATTTTTTCTGTTCACTCATTTAATATGATTACTCAGTCAGTCAGTAATGGTTCATTTGCATACAGGCTGAGTGTTCACTCCTCATGTTATGTGACTTAATCAAGTCAGATGAGATCATTGTTAGTTTTAGAACACATTTATAACCAATTTATCATTGTAAGGTTAAGATTTATAGTTTATCCTTTTGTCATCATTTATACACTATTTCTGGTCAAACTGTGAGCTGTAGTACATCATCGGGGTGACCTTGGTTTTGGATGCAAATTGGTTATGATTAGTGTTATAAATGTTTTTTTTTTATTTAAAATCTACCACAGAATGGCAGACAATGTGAAAACAGCAGAGAAGGACAAAGAGGACTCACAGGAACAACAGGTGAGTCAAACACATCGACATAACATAATATTTAAATGAATATGGATATAAATGAATAAATATAAAAACAAAACATCTTAGTTATACTTATAAAAGATGTTAACACATAGGACAATCACTTTATTAATTGTAATTTTCACTTTGAGAGTGATTTCTTTTTCATGTGATGAGTGAAAAAAGCCAGTCTCGATCTAAAAGCTTTAAAGGCTTTAATATCATTGTATAGTAGTTCTAGCTGTCATACATCAAATGATTTTAATATAAACTGTGGCATCTAGTTCAATGCTTCAGTGTAATAAATGCAATCCTTCAGTGTGCTTATAAAGTTTATGAAAGATTTATTTTGTTATCTTAAACAAAAGAATCCCATCATTGTGCAATAATAACTAAGATTAAGTAACAGCAAACTTTAATATTTGTGTTTTAGAGTGTGATCTCCCGAGTGGGAAACCTGCCTCTGGTGAGTTCTGCGTGTGGCGCGGTGTATAATGCATACAGCAGCACTAAAGACAGCGTTCCCCTCCTAAAAGGAGTAATGGAGGTGGCAGAGAGCGGTGTCCGCACACTGGGTGCTGCTGCTTCAACAGGCTCCAAACCCATACTAGACCGACTGGAACCTCAGAGTAAGAACCTCAAAGGGATCATTCAGACAAAAAATAACAAAAACGTTCTCAACACATGTTGTTCTAAACAAATAATACAATTAAAATGAACATTTCATGTAATTAACAGAACTTTTTAAAGGCTTTTTTGATAGTCCAAGGTACCAAAACCTGTCATAATGTTGTTGTATGTGTTGGGGAGATTTTCAAACCAAGTAAAAAAAAATAATTAAAAAAAGTTATTACTAATTACATCAGTAAGATTGTTTTTAAAGTACTTTATCTGAATAAGTAATTTAACTACTTTACCATTATTGAAAATCCAAGCATTTGTCAGATAACTTAAACCACTCAATTGAAATAAATAAGTTTATTGACCCTTTTACAGATGTTTTTGATCTTCTGTGTTTTGGTTACTGCAGCAAAGAAAGAGAACACTTAGGTTTCTTTAAAAATATCTTAATTTGTGTTTCAAAGAATAATCAAAGGCTTGTGGGTTTTTTGAACAACACAAATAAATGATGACTTTAAAACTAGATTAGTGTCTGATTAATAGTTTTCTTTTCGCAGTTGCAGCTGTAAATGAATATGCTATAAAAGGGCTGGAGAAAGTGGAAGGAAACCTACCAATTTTACAACAGCCAGCAGACAAGGTACCCTAGACTGACTTATTCCTTAGCTATTAGCATTTGAATTATCCGTTTGAATTAGCATTGTGAATATCTCCATGCAGCTGGTATCCGACACAGTGGGCATGGTGTACCAGTCGGTAACAGGAGCGAAGGATGCTGTGGTGGGGGCTGTGATGGAGGGTGTGGAGAAGACACGTATGGCTGTGACTGGGGGCATAAACACCGTCATGGGGTCCCGTGTGGGCCAGATGGTCAGTAATGGTGTAGATAAGGCTCTCACTCACTCTGAAGATTGGGTCGAGC